CTAGCTATGGCCTCCAACCTACCAGCGATGGCCTCCAACCTACTAGCGATGGCCTGTAGTTATTCCATTTCCCTGAATGCTCGACCGGGATCTTCCGTCTCCATGCCTCAGCGACGACGGACTTCCGCCGCAAGGCGTTGGGCGGAAATTGCCGCACGACGCTGCTAGTCGCTGCCTCCGGTGCGCAGCAACATGCAGTGTGGAGGCTCAGGACCTATATATAGGACATGGTCCGGAACTGCACGGGGGGTTGGGGAATTGTTGTGAAGACCTCTTTGAGGTCTGCTTTCAGCACTTAATTAGATGATATTTGGGGGAAGGCGTGATGGAAGATGGAGCTTTTTTGGTAGATTTCAGGCCTGCAGGAAGACGTGAGACACAGTTGTTGTTGTTAATATAAATACTTACAAGAGAACTCCACTATACATGTCAATGATTATGTGTATATTATATACACTACCCCTGAATCAATCATGTCAAATTGGTATGCACCCAGGCATACAGAACTGCTTTTGCCATGTCTATGGTTTTGTCATTGAGGATGAAACCCTCTCTTCCTTGCGCTTTGCCACGCGAGCAAAAAGTGCTGGTGCCCCAGTACTCAGCTCATGAGCAAGCGGAAATTCAGACTTTGTCCGATCGGGTCGATGCGAAAGGCTCCCCTGGATGGAGTGGGCCCCCCTACCTAGAAGCGAGGAAGCGATGGCCTCCAACCTACTAGCGATGGCCCCCCCAACCTATAACTTCCCTAACAATAACACGTGCGCCGTTTGCTCAGGTTCGAAACGTAGCAAAGGCCGGGCATGGCAGGGCTGTGGTCGGAGACACGAGGGCTGTGTGGGGAAGGGTTTCACCGAGGTCAATCAACTGGGAAAAAATGGCTGGAGTGAAGCGGACCAGCACTCTGAAACCCTACAACCAGGGCGTTACTCTCTCTCTCTCTCTTTGTCTCTCATTTTGTTTTTTTGTAAAGCTGAACTCTAGGGTCTTGTAAGATCCCAGTGATATCTAAAACACTCTACAATGGGATCCCTGGATTAATCACCCCACCCCATCCCCCACTCAATCAGGACAAGTGATGAATCTCGGAAATGAACGATCCCAAAGACTAAATCAAGCAACATCTCTCGAAATCGGAGGGTTCCTAAAGTCCAAATCTCTTCATGGGGAGAGATTCGCAAGACAAGATCTCTTCATTCCCAAGACTGAATCTAGTAAATGGGGCAACCATTGGCCAATGTCCTATCCGATGAGTCTCACTGAAGGGGCAAACTGGCAATGGCATGAGCTAACAATGAGCCAGCATTAGCAAAAGGTGTCTTGGGAGTTGGGCTTTGAGAAGATTGGTTTAATCAAGGATGCAGTGGCCCATGAGCAAAGTTGATCCAGCTAGTTACAACAAGGAGTTGTCAAGGAAGACACCAATCAAAATGTCTTGGTTGCTGGAAGGGTGGGGAACATTTTGGGTGAAGAAGGTGGGCCAAACTGATTGGCAGGGGTGGGCACCCACATTGGAAAATTGGCCGCTAGAAGTTTTTGTGAAAGGCGGTTAGTGTTGCAGGAAGAAGTTGGGCCAAACAAAAAAGGGGGTGGTTCCTAAATCCGCCGATCAGATTAGAGTGCAATGCAGGTCAACTACTGGTAGTTTCCAACTTTCAATCTCCTGGGCAGGTCAACTACACTTACTCCCCCGAACAGCTTTTGCTGTTGGTTGCCAAACTGCAGAAGCAGCTGGCGAGTGCCTCGTCGAAACCAGCAGTCCTGGTCATGCAGGTCACGAGTCCGCAGAACCTGGGGGGGACCTGAGGATTGAAGCAGAACCTGGAAGGAAGCTTCCCAGCGTCGCATTTGGGGGGGCAAGTCTGCAAGTGCAAGTTGCAATGTGTTTAACGCTTGCAGGCGAGGGCACAGGTACTGGTAAGGGTGTAAAGTGAGGGTTCCAGGAGATTCATTCTGTTACGTTGCTTTTTTCTTGGCCAGTTTCCAACTCGCTCTTTGGCGGTGTCTTATTTTTCCAGCCAAAAGCGAAACCCTTAAAGGAGCACAACACTAGACCTAAACCCTGACTAAGAACATGATGGTTCCATGATGGTTCCAAGATGTTCCTTACCGATGCCACCCTGCCGATGGGTCACTTGGGCTAGTTGCTCAGCTTGGGCGGTTCGTTGGGAGGTTCTCTCCAATACCCACCAACCGCCGCCGCTCGTGAGGTGCTCATGAGCACATCGTCGAGTTGGGTGGCTTCCCACGTCCGGCGGAGGACCCGTGGTGTGGACCCGCGCGCAGCGTCGATAGGCTGGGCATGTCAGGTCGATCCGTGTGTTGAGTTGGAGGTGACAAGAATGCAGACCCGGGAACCTGCAGGAGTTAGCCATGTTGTCATTTAGCATGGGGTTGGGAGTACCTGATGATTCAGCGCCAAATAGAGTGACCCCCCAAAGAATTCCTGGTTGGGGTGCCCATTTTAAGACTTCCAGAGGGCAGTGTCGGACATGTCTATGTTTTCCACACCTGTACTTGTACCATCCTGTATCAGATCTGGTATCGTATAGACTAGATTGACGAGCGCCACCTGCGACCTCTATATATGGGTTATGACGAAAGCCATTTGCTAGCTGGAGTTGCTCTTACTTCAGCAACGTTTCTGCCTGCCATGTGAAACATCATGAAACAGCTATTCCCCCCCCCCACATTTCGAGTCCCCTGTGGTCCTGGGGAGTGCGGGCCCGGTAGTTAGACACCTGCCCTGTGCCAAAATCTCCGTGACTCAGAGCTACCTTTGTGACTCGGAAAGAGCATCTATCAGTTCACCAAGATCAAGATCCATTTTCCATGCAAACTTGAGTCTAATGTGTTTTTGTGCTGCACAGAACATTTTCACATATTAACTTCACTTGAAGAAATAGGAGGGTGCAGGGTGTGGTGTGGACCACACCTACATGCAACAATTGTTTTTGTTTTTTGAGCAGATGAAACCTCAACATGTTCAGCATGATTCAACCGTGCACTTGGGATTGAAGAGTGTTTAAACAGGAACAGTTTAATCAATTATGTTTTTTTTTTGTATTTGGGAGAAATCGTATGATGTCATCTGTTCAGGTTTTGACCAACTGCCATACGTTTCTGTTGGTGCTTGCAGATTTATGTCGACCTCGAAAGCTATGATGACAAATGTTTGCCTGCGAATCAGATGGTGGCAGGAGTCTCCAACACATGCTGAGATGGCCTGGGCTTTGGGCCTGAAGAGGGTTCGGTCATGCTGCTGTGAATGACTCAACCAGCTTTTAGATGTTTTTAGATCTATGCAAGTTCGGGACTGGATGATACTGGATGGTGTAATGCGAGATCGATGAAACACATGAGTTTTTTGTGCCAGACACTAGCTTAAATCTAATTACATTTACAATCGGCCTGGAATACAATATTATATGGACAAATACAATATTGCATGGACAGATTTCATGATTTTGGCCCTCCATTCACAAAAAGATAGTTATAGAAGTTATAGAATGTTATAGAAGTTTTCATCAGTTCTTGTTGTGTATCATTTGTGTACTGACTGGACAACATCAGAAGATCATGGGCATCGGCCACGGCGTACCCAGTGGGAGCGGACACATCGAAGCAGTTCAGCTCGACTTTCTAAGAGGTGCGGCTCTTAGCATGTCCTCCGTCCTCCACGTGAAACGCACGTCGTGGTCCGGTCTCAGGTCCGTCTCATCTCCGAAGTTTGCCATTTCCGATGAGGCCGTGGCTGTGGTGATTTGAGCCGTCTGACTGCCGAAGTTCTGTGTGCGAACGGAAGCGCACAGGCCAGTCCCACTGCCAAGTCTCCAGCCCAGTTGTCGAAGTTGGTCGCAGGATGTATCGGAGTCCGAATGGACATTTGTCGCACTATTAATCTATGTACCTCAAATAAAGCAACATCTCTGTCACATGATTGCCAGACAATTTCTCTTCTCAACAATGTGGACATGAAGCATTGGAAAATCACCTTATATATAAGTAATATATATATATATACATTAAAAGTGATTAACCAGATAATTGACCAAGATCAAATCCATGCTCTTGGTGTGGCCACGATGCTTTTCCGCATGCTATTCCCTCAGCTGCGAACGCGCGGCCGCACGGACGGACCGTGCGAGGTTCGCGAAGGATCTCAAGAGCCGGGAGGTTCCATCGTCGACGTCCGGCGGCTTCCGGCAGCTTCGTTCTACGTGGGGAATCGGCCCATGAGCTCGGTCGAATCGGTCGATCATCATTTTGATCCAGGCTGAGGAGGACGACCTGGAGGCCTGTGGAAGTGAGATTTTTGAGATTGTCCAAACAATCTGGCCATGCCGGCCATGACATGGGCAAGCTTGTGGGCGATACGAGGATATGATTAATATGACTTGGAAATCTCATTCATGTGCCTCATCTGCAAGTGTCTCAATTTTTTGACCTGACCGGATCTTACCGTCGCCCTTTTGTGGTGGCTGACAGACACTTAGTCAAGCCAAAGGGTTGCTGTTTGCGATCTTGGGAGCGCATGACATGTCAGGCGGAAGACGATCGACTTCTTTACAATGAGGCCCTTGCAGTTCTGCGGTACTAGTTGGTCTGAGACATTGACAGCAACAGATCTGAAGCAGATGAACAGCTGCGTTGCAGCTCCTCATTCTCGGGATAGGCCACCTTGACGCCACTCCTGGCGGCGGCACGGAGGGCCATTGCCAACTTTGAGGTGTGATCGATCTGGATGGCGACCATGCAAACCCACTAGACCATGCAGCCGTCATATTATGTAGAGAGCACGGCAGAAGCACGTAGCTTCTAGATTTAGATGCTTCGTTCGCCTCAAATTGTCCATTCCTAGACGTCCACAGACTGAACGAAAGCCGAACGAAACAAAGAAACTCCAACGACAAGTTCATGAGATTTCATGAGCCTGAAGAGGAGACTCTACTTGCACAAGAGAAGTCTCTCACAGAGGCCTGGAGACTCTAGCTGTTTTCCTGGAGCATTGGGGTCGGACTGGGGAAGTCGATCGACCAAGCTGAAGTTTCTTGACCACCAACAGAGGTGGGTCAGAACCCCACTGTTCGACTATCCCAGGTCAGGTCAGGTGGTCCTTTTTCAGGTCACTAGGCAGAACCTCTCTTGGCAGGTCCTTTTCTTGTAGCCAAACTCCGTAAAGTTAAAGACCGTGCCAATGCTCATAAGGGTTTATATACCCTGATGGGCTTTCGACAGACCGAACTTGAGCAAAATAGCTCGCGCAAGATAAATTAAATATATAGGTACTCGGTACTCATTCATTTACTACCCCAACCAATGGGTTTGACAAGGGGGCTGGAAAGTCCTCCCTTTTCGACTTGAAGCGCAGGTTCGCTTGCTTCGAGCCAGCCGTGAAGATGGGGTGGCCGTTCCTCGACCCAGCGGACCCAGCGAGTCAGGTGCGCCACATGGTTCTTCGCGTCGTTGGCGCAGCGCTGCCGTGCGCGCAGATCCTTTTGTTTCGTCACCCACGGTGATCAGGAGGGATCTTGAAATCACCCAGAAGAAGATGTTTCCACCGACAAACGGCCGGGTTGCAGGTGAAGAGCAGGATCTGATGTCTGAACGCTTCAGAGTGGCGGGGCTTAATTAGACTTGAGGATGGGTGATCGGATTTCGGTGGATGTTACTCCCCCTGCAGAGGACCACATGGAACCCCAACACCACGCCCGGTTTGTAGAGGATCATGGTCGAAACCACCGGTCAATTCGAGCCGGTTCCATGGGATCGTTTGCGGGAGAGTAGTTGCATGTTGGTGTCGATTTCATGTTCAGCCAGTCGATTCCTGGCTCCCTCTTTGCAATCCCTTGGACATCTAATCGATCAGTGTCAAGATCTGCAGGATGTTGTATGCCATGAGTGAACCTGGCAGAGTGAGCCTTGTTTTTCAAACAAACATCTTGGCGCCTAGGCACTTCAACATGCTGTGAATGCTCGCAGCTACAAATGGAGGCACAGACACGAAACACCGTGCCTGCTTCACCCAGCACATCGCATGACGCAGCAACCGGTGGGTGTGACTGGGTGTGTGTTGGAGATCAGGGAGACGTCTCCCCTCACACCACTGGGAAAAGCACGATGAAATCCATTGGGCCAGGGAGGTCTGTTCAAATACACACATGTAGCTGACCTGGGTGGTTGCTTCGAAAAGGCCCAATTCAGAGTCGTCTGATGGAGATCCCGGCCATTCCAATTCATCAAAATTCAGTGTTCCTGGACCAGTTTGATGACTTGGGGGTGAGTGCTCCGCAGACGAAGCTTCAAATTGTCTTGCTGTGACTATGAAACTGCCAAGAATGAAGATCAGGTGGTTTTCATTCCAATTCACCCGAACAAAGAGACCATAGTTCTGGTGTTTCCACCCTTGCTTCATTCCCTGATTGCGTGGCATGACTGACAAAGGCTACAGTTGGAAGAGTTCAGAAGTGAAAGCCTGCCATGGGCTCAGTTGGCTGTACCAAGCAGCACTTGCTTGCGTGTGTCAAAAATTCAACCCCAGAAGGCCCTCGCACTGTGTCTCTATAGACTTAGCTGGTCTTTAAACTGTTTGGAGACAGCGCCTAGGGACCCCAATCTCCTGGGGTATCGGAACCAAGGAGCCGCCTGGGCCCTTTCAGAACCAGGAGCCTGTGGGTCAAAACCTCCCTCACCAAAACATCAAAGTGACAACATCCTGAACATAGAGGAATCTATTCATTTGACCTGGGGTCAACCAGGGTGCCCGGGTTTTGACCCACAGCCATATATATGATCATATGTTTGATAGCAAGAGCAGGCCGTATCTGTGTGATCACATGAACAATGAAGGGGGACCTGCCAAACATGGTACTCCAGTACTCCTGAACAATACTGCAAGAGCTGTGCTGGTGGTTTTTGGAATGCATATGCTGGCTCGTATAGGACTGTCCCTTACAATAGGAGGACTGTCCAGAAGTCGGGACCATGTGACATTAACAGAATTGGGGGTTCGGAGATTTGAAAAAACCATAGCGACTCTGCGGTGAAAAGCTCTAAAACTGAGAGGTAGCAGGGTCTTCCAGGTCCTGACTTCGATCCAGTGGTCATCGAAAATCATATCCGGTCGTGCACCGTTTTGCGAGAGAGGGCCATGGAATCGCAGATGCGGAGCACCTTTGCGCAGGAGAGAGGGGTGACACATGGGTGGCGTAGCTTAGGTTCTACTAGATGCTAAATCGTACATATTGTATAATAGTCCATTAGCAAGTGACATTCTGGGATTGGAAAGTGAATCTCCTTATATACATGTTGTGTGGGAATCCTTTTCGATGCAGCTTCCCAGTGCTTGCTTGACTCTCCAGCCTTGGCTCAAGCTGAAATGTTCAACGTGGCAAAGGTGAAGCGTCGTTCGCATGCTCTGATTGCTTAGCCTTTGTACTAAATCCCCCCCTGTTGGAATCATGAAGTGGGGCACCAGTTTGGCGTTTGTTCATGGCCAGTCCAATAATATTTCATGCACATAGATAGGGGAGATGATAGCGCTTATGATGCAAATGATGCATATACCATTATAGTTACACAGTTTGCATAACTAAAATACAACAAGCAACATTGACCTAGTGACATAGTTCAATCAATATGCAGTGAGATAGGCACCACGGTGTTGCGCGACCTGGTCGCGCCGCCATGGCAGATGCAGTGCTCAGGACTGGCCTCAAAGACCCGATGATAGGCTATTGTGGATTGAGAGTGTTTGGTGGTTTATAAGACACTCCCATGATCTGAAAGGCATGAAGTGGGGTGCCAGTGCCATCTACTTACTCTGAAACCACTGTATTTGCTCGGGGTAGCTTTTTGTTGCATCAACATTTATACGTGTTATCCCTACCGAGGCCTGCTGTTCAATCGGCGTTGATAGTCAATTGTTCAACGACTTTAGTGTTTGGTTTACTTATTGAACAAACAAAGTGATACAAAGTGATTATTTCGAAGGGGAACACCGAGTACCTACTAGATACACATGTTGCAAAGGTTTGTGCTTTGCTATCTTTTGGAGGTTTGATCAACATCCCCGCTGTGAAGGATGCCATGGTGTCGTGTCATCCTTGTCGAACCCCGTGATGCACGAAATGTTGGCATGGCCTTGCCCTGAGCTGCAATCCGTGTTTACAAGGTTTTGCTGACCAGATTTCAATGGAGTTTCAACGTTCCTCCCAACCCATCGCAGTACGACGCAAGATGACATGGCACGAAATGTCATGACATGGCCAACAGCACAGATCTGTGAGAGTCTCTATGGCCTGGCCAGCTCATGGGGGTCTCAGGTTGCGCGTGCGTGTGCCAATTTCGGTGTCTCCGACTTGATTGCACTTCCCTCAGTCGACCGAGTCAGACATCGGTCATGTCGCATGTCGTCGTGCATGTCGCATGTCGCACAGGTCGTGTTTGGTTTTGGGTTTTACATGTTGGATTTGGTTTCGAACAGGTCGTCCTCCTTGTCAGATCACAAACTGGTCACCCACAGGCTTGCCTGGCGTTCCAGGGTGACTTCGAACTTGAGGACAACCGAACGGTTATAATATCATAGAATCAATGCATGTTGCCTTGATCGTTGGTCTATCGACCATTTGCACACCAAAAAGAAAGATCATGAAAGATCAACCCGCAGATGACCCGTGTGTATGAACTACAGGCCAACCTAAGAACAAGTGTTTTTTATTGGTTGGATAGTGTCCAGTGACAGTACCTCCATGTACTTCCCCGACCCAAGCAAGGAAAAGCACTGCCAACTCGGTTTCACCTGTTTGCTCGATTAACTTGTTACCTATAGATGTTACTAGTAGCTTCTTGATCTTCTTGCTACTAATGGCAATGGCCTCGAACCTAAGAGCGATGGCCTCCAACCTAGTATAGCTTCTTGTTACCCAATCGCCTTCAGGTTGTGCATGCTAGCAAACTTCAAGCAGCACTCGCTCGAGCTGGACGCTCACTCGAGAAGGCCGCGTTTTCCTCGCATTTTCTGGTCGCCATCGCTCCGTCACGAGAAACACTCCTCCAGTTGTCCAACAGGAACACATGTCATCACACGTGTTGGACCAGCTTGGACTGCTCAGTGTTGTTGAGTAACAATGTTCGCTACTAGGAACAAGTGCATCGCTACTAGTAACAAGTGCCTTACTACTAGTAACAAGAGGCTACTACTAATTTTTGTTGCCTAAAATTGCTGCTCCAATAGGGCGAATCCGCGCCGCTTGTTCCTTCCAGGCTCGTCAGCTTGGACTGGATCCCGAAGTGCTCCAGGAGCGGTTCTTTTGCGCAGCAGAACGGGGAACCTGCACAGGGTCGTCGTGCCAGTGCCAGGAGCAGAGCATCGAATCGTGCGTGCTGGCCATAGATTCGATCAATCCAAAGTTGTTTCCACTTGCTGAAGCATGATGGAGATACTTTTCTGGGGCCAACAATCAAAAATGATCATATATTTATATATATATATGCTTAATTTATAATCTATATAATGTTGTTCATGCTGAGTTTGTCTTTGCTTCATGATCAGACTGACCAGAGCTTGACTTTCATGAAAGAAACACAAAAAACTTTTGGAGCACATCTCAGCACTGGGCCATACTGGAAGAGGTGCTGGTATCGCGCGGTGCTGAGGCATTAGACCTTTCTGCGTGGAAAGGTTGTGAGCGATTGGCCACGGAAGAGGCGAGGGAACAAAACAAACACTGGAGGAGGAGGAGGAGGAGCCACACTTCGGATGATCCTCCTCAGTTTGGTCCTCAAGTCTAGACGAGCATGTTTCCACCCAAGAAGAATCACGTTGCAGACAGCCTGCTTAAAGAAATGGAGAGGCTCCCCAATTTCTGGTGAGCTTTTTCTACAAAACTGGTGGAACGATCTCGAGTTTTTTCCTGCCCAAGTTCCCCCAAGAAGACTTCCAATTCCAAAGTCATCCAGACCAGTCTGGGGAAGTCTTCCTTTGTTCACGACTGAGCTGGCGATGCAGGGTGCGGAGGTCCTACAATCAGCCAAGTTATATGGCAATCTCAAGGCAGCATTGACCGGAACAGGCTTGGATGGACTCCTCACGGGGATGGACTCCTACGACTCGCGGCGACTTGCGGCTGGTCAAAGAGGAGTCAAAGTGATCCTCAAATTGCAAGGTAGACTGTTGATTCATAAGACCCCTCCCTCATGTTTTTCTTCATCAACTGTAATTTACATCTATTTGTACTGGTAACATGTATCATTCTTTAACTGTTTATAGTACAGTCGGGTCAAATGGAGTCGTGGGATGATGTTGCACCCCAAGGAGGAGGACGCTCTCCCCGCGCTCCGTCGTCTGCCACGCTCGCCCCGGTCATGGGAGGTCAATCGGTGGCGTTCTCCGGTCGTCAGGGACGGAACTTCCGTGGCGCGGCTTAGACGCCGTGGCGCGGGCGAAGACACAGGTTTGCATCATGAAAGCATATGAAAGCCTGGAACGTCCTGCAGTTCGTGCAGCGACCTGCAGTTGCTGCCTGAGGTGAGCCAACTGCAACTCTGAAAAGCTTGGCCAAGCACCTTTCGGAGAAGCATCAGGCATATCCAGGGCATTTCGGTGTCCATGCATTTATGCATACGATTGTTTATCCAAAGTGATTCCAAAGTTGTTTTGCGCACGGAATGGCGAAGGCCAAAGCTCTTGAACGAGCAGAAGGAGCTTGTGTGCTTCTTTTCTTCTTTTCAGTACTCCCACGTTGGTGCGATCATGGGCACAGCTTCGTCACCTGGTGGAGAATCCAAGAACCCCCCCGGAGATGATCGACTCGCTTCGAAACGTCCTGGACTTCACCGTGGACGTGCGACGCGACTCGCTGACCGGTGCAGGAGCGCCTGGAGCTCGGTCGACCGCGCTGGTCTTTGGCTCGGAGGCGACCGGGTGGACGACGGTGCCATGACCCATCCGTGTTGGACTGACCTCACCGAAGAAGCCGGCGTTTTCCGAGGATGTGGGGCTTTCCACTGAAGCTGTGCTGATGTGCACCGATGCCGTGACCTCGGATGACCTCTGAGAGACCTTCATCCGAGATCATCCGAGAGGATCGCAGAGAGGTTAACACATGGTAACACCACAGCTAGCTGTGGTCTCTGATGACCAGGTCATGAACTCTGATGCGCGAATGTGCCCATGCTTTTTTTTGTCGCAGGGAGGATCTGCCACGGTTGTCGATAGTCCGCTGTAGGTTTGCCGTTTGCAGACAGCGGACTGCCCTTCTTTGAACCTCTCACACGCCGCTGCCGGTGCCTTGAAGTGAAATTGACTTCGCATCTAGATTGCGGTCAGAACGCCAGAACATTCCGGTTTTTCAACGATTTTCCTATATGTTTTTCTCAATGTCTCCTTCCGGGCCGGGCTCCTGCCCCCCTTCTTTCCGTGCCATCCAGGCTGTCGTGCTCTCGCGTGTTTTTGAAGAGGTCGTCGAGGTCCAGGCAAGGCGGCCAGGCTCTCCTCGTATGAAACCTAATGTCTACATGGTTTCGAAAGGTTTGGTGTCCTGTAGACATTTGTAGACTGGCACAATAGAGAGTGTGTTCATCTAACTGCTGGGCATGCCGATCTGTCTTGAAGTGAAAGGCTTTGAGGGTTAGCCCTGTTTCATTTGATGCAATCTATCCGTTGCGAGATGTTGCGAGCAGGCATCAGATGGAGGAGATGCTGCTGAGGCTACCCTAGCAACCCGTCAGCACGGAATATACTTATTGACGATATTGACGCCTCAGTTCATTTACATTTGCCGCAAGATCCCTGCATGTGTTTTTTTCTATTTAACACTAATGCCTGCGGCATCTGCCTGGCCTTCACAAGCAATTGACCGTTCAAATCAGGCAAAGTACTTGTTGAGCCTCACAGCTTGTGCATGAATCAGGCACCTGCTTCACAAGCAGAGCAGGCAGAGCTGCAATGGGTGCAGATGACCTGCGGATGGATTCGTTTGCCGAAGGGACAAGAACGCAGGATAAAGCAGGCAATTGATTCTTTCGATTGTGCCGTTTGTACTCCGACTGTTCAATATGTGTTCTCAATTGTTCTCATTTGTTTTTTCGACGATCCCAATTTGGGGCATAGAGTTTGGACGACTGAAGCCTTGCAGACCAGGGAACATCCACATGTTTTGAGACTGATTTGAGAACACATGTGGATGCATTTTGGTGTTTTCGACTGGTTGTCGGTGCATTTTCTCCTGGACCAATTATAGGGCCAACAAAATCAACCCGCCCCACGGGTCCAGGTTCCACCCGCCCTATGGGTCCAGGTGTGCTTCCGATGTCTACTGCCAGGTGGTGATCCCCGAGCTGTCTTGGACGGCCGAGTGGTCGGAGCTGTGTCGGCAGCGTTTGGAGGCAGAGGGTGGAGCCGGATGAGCTGGATGTCAACAGGATTTATGGGGTGTGGCATGAGGGAAGCATTCATCTATAACATCATAAAACAAGGTATCAAGGTCATGTACATGTTCCCCTTTGCCATCCTTTGCCAGTGGTTCGAGTTCATGGTGATTATTCTTGAGGCTATAATACATATTCGTAAGATTGAAATAAGCTTAATATGTTGCATGTGGATGGGATAGGAAACGGGACATAGTATACCACCAACAATCCAGTTGTTTTACAACTGGGATCAACTGGGTACCATGTACGTACAATCACCACTAGTTTATGGCCACACATGGCCATGGAGGGGGCTCAGGTAACCAACAGGTTTGGCTTAAATTGGTGTTTATGTCTACGTCTACGTCCAGTCTACGCAGGCAGGACTTGGGGTCTCCTTTCATACGCGCGGTTCGGACCTGACCCCCCGCCAATTGCGCCGCTGCCCGTCAGGCACAGGGATACCCCACGCAGGCGCGCAGAGCGACCGGGTCGGTCGTTTGTTTCTGATGCGAGCTTCGGCGTGTGGCTTTGCCTCAATCTTTTGATGGGAAACAAGAAGAGAAGGACTTGGACTTCCACAACTTGGAAGGTCAAAACGCAAACTGGTCTCTGAATGGCTTAGCTTAGTTGGGAGGTGATTCCTTTGCCCCTGAACTTGAGAATGCGGCCAGAACCATGGAGGTGTTGAACGCAAACTGTAGTATACAGAAAGTATTTTGAGATTGGTTTGAGGATGCTTTAGGGATTTGCCTCTGATTGTCACAGCAAATCAAGCAGTTTTGAACCTACGGCCGACCTTCTCAGCGCGCGAATTTTCGCGTGAGACTGAACTTTGGCACGGACGAGGCCGAAGGCAGGGTCTAGAAGGGGACTAGCAGCTAGCAGAGAACTGAAGGAGACTGGCGTTTCGAATGGACATTGATGGACATGTTGATTTGTGTGGTGCTTCCCCGGTCGTTCCGGGTAAAAGTGGGAGTGCTGTCAAATGGCACCATCTTTCAACCAAAAACTGCTGATAGAGTTAACCACAAATTGAGGATTGCAGGCTGAGAAGAATGCGCAGATCACTAGCACACTCGCAGAAGAACTGCAAGCACTTTTCAGATCTGTTCAGCACATTGCAGACTTTCAGCTTGCAACATTCCTCAGGAAGTGTCTTTTCACCTACCGGCTCTTCCGAGTAGTTGCAGATTGCGTCAGCTGCTCAAAGAACCAACTACCCAGGACCTTGCTGTGTGATGTGAACGAGACTGATCAGGGCGAGATGGAGTCACAACTTTGATTCACATGATCTTGGGGATTCAATTCTTGCAGTGCAGTGCAGCGCGCGCAGCGTCAAGGCCAGGTGCTTGCAGAGAGTGAGTCCTACAGACTCGGAGGTATCGACTCGGGGGTCGAATCGGTTTCCATCGAGATGAAGTCATTGCGGCTTTTCGCAATAGAGGGCCCGGCATGGGGACAAAATGATTCAAGAGTGGAATTAGGAATATTAAGATTGCTGAAATAGGAAAGAAGGAAACAATTAGACTTGTTTTTAGAATATATATATAACTATATTATAATCAATAATTTCAGAACCTCAATGAGGCATGTTATACATCATACAGTATATGAATTTGCTGTTTACATCATCTATACGCATGTTGTACATCCTTCGAACTATGAGACCCAGACTTGGTTTACTAAGGGAACAGCAAGAGGACACAGGACACCTCAGAGAACACCCATCGTTTTGTGGCCTGGAGCACTGGTTGGTTTGTTCCGGTTTGTTCCCGGTGACTTGCCGGTCTTGCCAGGTGATATCATGGAATCGGCTGGTGCAGGCCTTGTCAAGCCAGGCAGCTCCGAGATGCTCAAGAGTCCAGCATCCGACTCCAGGTCACCGGTCGCAGAACCCGAACCCACCGACTAAGACCGACTCTACAGGCATGCTGGTTGTCTTCATGACATAGATATATGACATGCACCATCATGCACCCCATGAAAATATGACCACAGTAGATCCATGGTTCGGGAGGGAATGAACACCCAACACATCCCCCCCACTGTTTTGGTATATAGCCTCTGGACGACTGTGGTACAGCACGGCACTGGCCCAGCTCCAACATGACTTTTTGCGTGAAATCTCACTTGCAGTAGGGAGCAAGTGACACAAAATTCCGCAATCCAATAAATGAGAGGCCTAGTTCCAAACATTGACCAACTCCGGTCAATCAACCCCATTTAGGGGGTGGTATAACAGCACCTCACCCCTGTCTATGTATCAGTACTTGTACTATAGTGGTCATATATACGTTGAAATCTGAATCCCGGCTTTCAGGTTTTTGTTGACCTCTCGAACCAATATGGTTACCACGAGCTCTTGTCGCGCGACTTCCAGTTCCCAAACACTCCACAAATTCATACATACCAATAACATCCCAATTATCACCATTTCATTTGTAAGTAAATTTGCCAAATATGCCATGCATGGATTGTGAGGCATTCCTTTCGCACCGTCAGGGACAACGTTTCCCGGACGCTGCGGATGAGTGCGAAGAAGAGAGTGATGGCGGCGACAAATCGCATGAGAAAATGGTGCCTGTTTCAGTCCGCCCTCTTTTGATGTTGCCAGAAACATCTACGGCAAAGATGCCCAAATTCATCTAAATTCTGTAGAGCCAGTAGTTGTTTGAGATTTAGCAGGACAACCGCATGGGATGGCATGAACTAGCAGCCAGCAGACAGATATTTGGGTCTTTCAACAAGATACAACACCGACCTCCCTACATTGTACCAATGGACTTGGAGCTGATGGAGGCCAGCCACGCATAAACATCGAAAAACATCCCCCAAGTGGCCATGTTCAACAGAGCTGCCGCTTGGCCATGCTTGGCCGATGGATTCTTCAAATGCACATGCGGAGAGATGCGGAGAAATGCGAAGTCTGGCAGGATTTGGAAAGAGCCCTGGCTGAAGCGAGGTGGAAGCTCTCAGAGTTGCAGGACAGCACGCGAACGTTTTTCTTCCGTCAAGTTAAGGGTGACCGCGGCGAATGGAGAGCATGTGGGGACAAGCAACTGATAGACCCGAGATAAATACAGTTTATCGTTATTTGTAAGCCCATTGGGAACCCACGGGTTCTAAGATCTAGTAATGTTTTCCATTTATTGTAGGGATACATAGGGCACAAGTAGGGGCACATGGTATTCTCAGTGCTAGATCTCCTTGGTGCCCAACAGCCGGTGTTGTCCGTGTTTGGAGGACACTGAAGCTATTTCACCACGAGCAGAGGCTATGGCATTGGTCGTATTGGCTCATTGTCTTTCATGTTTTGCGTTTGGTTGTTTGTCCACATGCCATGTCCACATGCCACCTCGAGTTCTCGACAAGCATGTGACTTTTTTTTTTCCTATAGTCCTAAATCACCCATCCGTAGGCAACAAGCTGTAAAGCCTCCGAAATCGAACAGACGCACGAGAGAACGGAGCCAACCAATGGACCTCTCGCAGGCCTTGTCCGGAGAGAGCAAACGGAGTCGAGCAGGTGCGGTCTCAACTGCGTCACGTTTCTCGCGCTTTGGCTGGTGCATGACACGGAAAAAACGTGACTGTTCACCTGAAAAACTCAGGTCCCAAGTTGGACGGAATCCTTGGAGTTCGGAGCCTGGCAGCCTCGCTTTTCTCACCAAATCTCGCCAAGAAATGGCTCTAAATGGGCTATCAGACCCGAAGAAAATCAGACCTGCGCCGACCCAGGTAGCGGCAAAGCCAAAAATTGCAAGGCGTTTACCATGGGGTTCCAGGGTTTGCTGCAGACTGCTGGGTTCGTCGTCTAAGAAGTCTCCCTTTTTTGTTAGATGCATGAGAAAGGATGTGAAGCGTGCTGTGTGACTGTGTGAACATGTGTGACCTGATGATATTTGATGTTCCGGTTTGCTTTCTGATGTCATGTGTCCAGTCACGGCCTTGCATCTCCTAAAGTGTACGGTACTGAGATGACCTGTGAGCGACATGTGTTTGCTCCAAAGAACAGGTGAGCTGAGATAGGCAACCTGCTTGAGGACGTAGGCGGTCATAGATGTCACGGGCATTTGTTACCAGTCACCCACCCAAAAGATCTTTGCTCACGTGTTTGCAGGCCTGTTCCAAGAAAGCACGTGTCTCCGTTGGATCCTCGGGATGCCTAAAAAGCACATGCTGTCAGCACGTCCTGTTTGCACTGCTGCGGTGAAAGCACTCGTGCCGCGAAGTTGGAGGTCGAAACGTCTTGCGGCTGGAAGCTCGAAAGAGGCCAAGCAAAGCCAGGCAATGCTTGCTCCAGATTCCCCACATGTGTCCATCATGAATGCTCCACAATGCTCTGAATTCAGACCCGCAGCCGGCAGGCCTGTCCTGATTTCAGCATCCATGATCTCTTTTTTTCTTCGATCCCTTGTTACTAGTATAGAGCTTTATATTATAGCTTCTTGTTTCTAAGTGGTAATGCCAGGAGCTACTATCATCTACTGTAGCTTCTTGCTCCTAGTAGCATTGTTCCCAAGCAAAACGGGCCCGCATGACTGCACTGCGCCCCACACCCCAGGTGCCGACGCCACGCGGCGTGGCGCCGCGGACGCCCGCGGGCCCGACGCGCGGCGTGGCGCTGCGGGGCTCCTTCCAGCGCACGGTGGAAGCGAAGTGAGGAGCTGAGCGAGAGTTCTCCGCTGGATGGGCACCGGAGGTCATTTAGAAGGTCTTTTGGTCGCATTTGGATGTATTTGGTTTGGAAGAACCAGTGGGGGCTAGTTGGGTTGGTGGTGAGGTGACGTCAAGTTGCTGATTTGCTTTTAGAAAGTGTTTCTGTGACGGAACTCCTTAGACTAAGTGCCACTTGCTGTTCATCTATTCCGTCGAACCCCCTTCTACTAAGGATTGTTTTTGGAAGGAAAGTAGTATATGAAAATGTGTAACAGTGTCTAGAAACCACCCTTTGAGTGGTGCTGCTTTTATTCCAGATGATTCAACATTATGATATTCATCGATGAGAGCGTTTGAACTCCAAGAGTACCAAACGAGCGGACTTGAGACCAGACATGGAACGGATGGAGATTCAATGAGCTATTATTAGATTGTCAGTATTGTTTCGAGGTCCAGCATTTAGATGACTTAGATGTCAAGCACATTTTGAACATGGCTTTTCGACCTCATTTGTTTGAAGCGTTGTTTCTTCTTCAGGTCTCAACCTGCGGAGGATGTTCTTTGGGTCGCAGGTGGGCGTTAGACAAGCATCTCTAGCCAGCATGAGTGCAGTTCCTTGCATGAATTTGAAGTTTAAAATAAAACCCACTTCAACTGAGTTGTGTGTTTCTTTTCCTGCAGGTACTGGTGACACAAGTGGCGAAATCTTTCCGGAGCATGGCCATCAGGAGGTGGAAAAAAAACACAGAAACACTACATACGTTGCATGATGTCGTATGTTGATTTCCCAAGATATGAAACAAACATGTGAATAAGTCATACTTTGGGTCTTTGTCCCAACCCCTGTAACAGTGAACAAGGTTTCCAACTCAACCATTATCATCCACTGTCACAGGGAATGGGAATGAATGGGATACATGATACAATTAGCCAGGTCATACTGTACATGACATACCGCATACATTTCAGATTCGGTTCGAGCCAGCTCATGCCAGCCCAGCTCGCTCGCTCGAACCAGAGAACTGGATGAACACAACTGGACCATTCAGGACACAGTTGCCGTCCAAAGAGAAGCATCTTCGGAGACCCCGGCCAGAACCCAAGGAACCCAGGCTGTTTGGGCAGTATGAACCTGGCTGTTTTCCGTTTCAAAAGGAATGCTACTTTGAGGAGATTAAAGGAACCCCACCTTTGAAACAGTTTGAAACACATGGAATCAAACAATACCTGAAATGGGTTCTGTGCACCATCAACTAGAGATCTTGGGCTTTCAGTACGAAGTCACCAGAGCAGTTTGACCACCAGTTTTACACTGGTCGCCAATCAACCACTCGGCCGTTTGAAGCCCTGAGGAAGTTCCATGCAAGTCGGAGGCGGGACCCGCCTTTTCCTCGCGTGCGAGACGGTCTTCGGAATCGGAGTTTGCGTCTGGTCGGAGTATGACGGAGTCGGTCGGCGCGGAGGGGACAGTGGACGGGCATCTCTGGGAGGTGAGAGACTCAGGCCACCCGAAGTTCCAAGAGAGGTTAGTCGTGAGCCTGACAGAGAGGTTAGTCGTCATGTGGCGTACACAACTGGGAGCCAGTCGAACTAATTCGGGTTTTGACCCACCTCTGTTGGTTGTAGCCTGGTATTCTGTTTGTGTCACACTGTGAGTGTGGATTTCTGTAGTACATCGTATTGAGCAAATTGAGCAGCATTGGCATAACCCGAGGATCCACAGCAAAAGTATGATGCCCTGCACACTGGATTCCAGCATCATCAGGCCTGAGTGACTGCGTTTTGCCATGTGAGCGCTCATGTGGTCGCGTACGTTTTGAGCAGGTCTGGAGTTGTTCCATGGAATTTCAATGAATTTCCCAATCTTTGCTTCTTGAGCTATATACGTGCCGCCTTCTTGGTCGTTTTATCATTATGTTTGCCGCATGTTGCAACCACTTGTGCGGAGCGCTTGGTAACACTGGAGATCCTTCGAGACTAGTTCTTGACAAGCACCTCCTGGGTTTTCTCTTGACGCGCTATGGACTCTCCATGAACCCTAAGACTGAGATTTGCTATTGCCGCTTTTATTGTGTTCTTCTTCTTCTTCTTCTTCAACTCAGGGTCCGATTGGGCACGAGTCGAAACTGGGCTTGTCACTCAAGACATATAATACTGAAACCCATTGATGGATAAGCAAAGAATGTGGTCCTGGGGTCATTACACACAATTGCCTAGAACACTACGATGAAAGTAGCACCTGTTCAAGCCTTCATGGAATGATCGGAATGTCCCTGGAGGTTGAATCGAATGTCACAGGAAGTAGCACTGAATTGTAGAAGATTATTGATATCTGCAGATTAAACACCCGTCATTTGCAGAGCTGTCGCATGGGGTTCGGAAGGACTGTTGGACAGCGTATGATAGGCCTCACATCTATATACACGGGTTCAGATCAGAGAGTTTCAATGGCAACAACATATGAGGATTGGACCAAATCTATATGGCTTGGGTCGGCCTCAGATAAGACATGATAAGACAACGTCATCCAACTTCACGTCTTCTTTTCCATTCTTTTTCAACAAAATTACGAAAGCCAGCCTTCGTAGAAGGCGTCAGCTGAGTTGTGTCTGGCGAACGAAGTGAGTAAGTAGGGGGTCTGGGGGGGGGTGGCCCGAGAAAGCACCACGTAAACTCGAAATTAGGTGGTGTTTAGGGGTGTGCGGAAGTAAGGTTTCTGAGGCTGTGTTGGAGGTGACTTGTTGTGATTTATGAGGGGGTGGTGTGGTGATGCAAGAAATGCAAATTGCATCATCTGAATGGTAAGGTGTAGTTTTACCGAGGCCGATGTGTTGTAGCTTCGTACAGCTGTGAATGCATAACCTTCTCACACACCTATATAAGTTCAAGGCACTAATGAGTCTTCAGATCCGTGGATTGCTGCACGTTTCTCAAGCTTTTCTAGCGGTTGACGGAAAGCGAAATTGAAGTGCTAGCGGTTGACGGAAAGGGAAATTGAAGTGCTAAACCTGGCAACTGAATTGTAGCTACCCTGGGAACGTGGATTGCTGCACGTTTGTCACGGTAGTGGTTGACGGAAAGGAGATTGAAGTGCTATATTTGGCAACTGCCTTGTAGCTACCCTGGGTCCGCGCGCGCGCCTAAATTGGGGCAGACCGAGAGACAGCAAGGCGCGCCCGCGCGCAGACCCAGGGTAGCGGACTCAGGGTAGCTACTGCTGCACTTTTACTATTTCTCTTCAAGCGAACGGCCCGGGGCTGGCAAAAGGATAATGCACAAAAAAATATGGGATGCCTATCGAATGTCCAATGGTGTTCTTTGTTCAAGACCAAATATACCAACAACGTGCTCGTGGACAAACAACGCTGGCTTTCGTTTTGCAGTTTGTCAGGTGTTGTTTCTTCGTAGGAAAGCCGGGCCATCCGAGCCTGGCACATAACGAAGCACCCGTCGACAGCGAGTTCGTGACGACCGGCGGGTTTTCGCAGGAACTGTTGGAGACTCAGCGGAAGCTTCGAGGCCTCACGCAGCAGCGCCTCGGCTTCCGGGAAGCGGAGGAAGAGGTTTTCCACAGGGGGAAGACATGATAGGAAGATATAGGAAGACTATGTGCAAGTCATGGGGAATGGACGCTTTGGCTTTGGCATGAAAGGAAGGAAATCGTCAGTTGCATTCAGTTGAAGTCGTCAGTTGAAGTCGTCCATTGTTCAGACTCATCAGAAGCCATGCAGTTAGAATTGAATGATCAGCCGAGTGTTTACACTCCCGAAAACTAACATAGACCCTGGCAATGGTTCCATGAAAGACAGTTTTCCTCTACCAACCAGTGGTTTTCAGGTTCCATGTTAGTCTTCCAGTAACTTCCCCCTTTTACTCGATCCGATTCGGTGTAGGTGGACTACGCTTCGCCCAGGATCCACTCAAAAGACTTGCAGCTTTCGGCGCTGCGACATGAGGCGCTGCGTATACCGTTCGATCTCGGCCGCAGATGTGGAGACCAGACAACCGGACGTTGGTTTGGGATGGTTTGGGATTTTGAGGTGGACCCTTTTGACCATGAGATGACCATGACAGGGTCATGTGCTCCGGAGATATAGAAATAGAGGATCAGCACGGGTTGTGTTTTTCCACCAATTGAAATCCAGTGGTGCCCCACAACCATGAGTTTCACTGTCCAAACAAGTCTTTTGTTGCCAGGTTCTAACTGCATGAAGAACAATTGACACTTCACCTGCCAAAATCAGTGAATGCTGGTTTTGCTCCGCTTTTCCGGCAAAACACTTCACCCCTTCGCCTTCGCCTTCGCCTTCGCGCCGTACCCGCCGGTGCGGGACCGAACGTGGGCGCAGATCCGGATCAAAGATGCCTTGCTGGGGTGCCTGCAAGATGAGGACCGGACCGGACCAGTTCCTGGAGCAAGCCGTATGACTCCTTTTTTTTGACAAGACAAGCACCCTGCGCGACCGGACCGTGGTCTTACAGGAATGGTATCATAAAGAATGGTGGGTTGTTGTTCATGTTTTTCGCTCATATAGATGAACCATGATGAACCAAAACGGAGCCGTTTGGATTGCCAAGACGGTGTGTTGAAAACCAAGAACTCTGCAGAGCACAGCTGTCACCGCTAGGAGCGGCGTGTGCTCGAAGTCAACGACTCCGAGCTCGAGATGCTTCTTGAGAAGGCAAGGCTTTGCCCTCAGTTCGAATAGTCCTTTTATGTCCCTTTCATACATCCTTCATCGTTGTTCAACTCCTAGGGTTGGTTTGGTATCCTATTCAGATCCAGGGCTGCCAAAGCCAAAATGCCTTTCAGTCCAGCGAAAGACTGCACCAGAAGCCAGAAGGCATGAGAGGTCCAGTACCTGGACTAGAACACGGGAATACACGGGATATGCTGTGCTTAGTAAAAGAAAGAAACAGGTGCCCATTTTGCTCCGGGTGAAGAATGGTTTTGCCAGAATGGTCACAGTCAAAACGATGGTTTGAACTCTTTATATATGTGATATCCCTACGCACTTGTGACAAGGGCACCGAACATCCCATCGTTCAGGATGGGTCCGGAATGGTTGAAGACATGGAAAAGGCTTTTTGCAAACAGGGCATCAATTTCCTCATGTTCCACATATTTTTAAGACAGCTTTTGCTTTATGCATCAAGAGTTTTTTTGAGATTTTTGCGATGGTCCTGAAGGGTAGGCTTTGATTGGAAAGCATTTGCCACAATGTCAATTATGAAACAACAACTTGTTCTTTGGGAGGTGAACGTGTGGAAGATATAGGGCTGGCCCAGACCTATCGGCCCTATTGCGTTGGTGAACCTAAACTTTTCAGTGTTAGCTGCATCAGATTTCATCGCCCGTGGCTGCCCAGACACATACAAATGCCGCAAATGCGGTCATGCTGGGCATTCACGAAAAACATTTCGTTGCAGGGGGCTAAAGGAGCTTCAAGGGGATGGTCAAAGAATGTCAAAGGTCTATAAATCTCCATTGAATAGAGTAGAGACCTTTCTGCAACCAGGTTACCACCCCTCTCAGAGTGAGAGGACCATAATTCCAATAACACCAAACCTTCCAACCTCGCTCTGCAGGCGCTGTCTCCCTTGGCTGCCATCCTCACTCGCGCGCGAACGACCCATCGGGCCACTTGGTGGTCAACAGGTCAACGACCAAGACAGGCCACTTGAGTCGACTCTTGATGAATAACCCAATGAATAACCTAATAACCCCCAAGAACCCAATTACCCAATATGAATAACGCCCCATATATGGAACATCCATGAAGAGGATTGAAGAGGCTGTTCCAATGGGGGTGATTCCACCATCGCACAAAACTGAGAACGCACGCCACCAAAGCCACTCTGCAGCACCGAGTTGTTGCACCAGTAGAACAGAGTCCCAAGTCGAAATGTTACGGCCTGCACCGTCATCGAAAAGCCGTACAAGCTGCAAGCGTTCATCATCCGTCGACACATCAACACCCAGGAAAACACCCTTCTGGAGCTCACGAGCACAGCACTTGTTCCGTTTGGAATCAAGAGAGCCAGGATATGGTTGGCAATTTTCTGAAGGGGTCAAACACTTGAGCATAGCACGGAAAACGAGAATGAGGTGCTGAAAAAGGCTCACGGATGCCTCCAGCTGGGAATGCTTGTTCCCACGCCACCAAAACAGGCACGCAAGTTCTGCAGTTGAAACACTAGCATCACTATCAGCTTTCCAGCAAAGCTTGGTGAAGAAGTCCCGAAAGTAGCGCCAATCGTCTTGTTCATGAGGCCATTTGGCCAGGATTGGCAATGTCTTCGGAATCTTCGGCTTCCACCCATAATCTGAAATCTGGGATGACCATGGCCACCACGGAAAACGGGTGACAACACTGGAAATGGTGTCGACAGTCTTGGGAGCATCTTTTGGTTGGGGTTGCTTCATCAAGAGTCTCAGACTCGACTCATTTTTTTGACTCATGCATACGCATGCGCATATTCGAAAATCGGAATGAGGGATTGACAATTTGAACGGACACCAATGGACCAACTGGGAGATCCTTTCAAATTCTTGCATGCTGGAGCTTTGTACCTGGGATGCGACTTTGTGCCGTCCGGTGACCGGTGGTGCGCTAGTCTCCTGGTCCGCTGGTCCCCTGTTCTGGTCCCCTTCAGTCTTGCCCTTGCCATTTATGCTTCTCGGTCTCTTACTCCTTCCATTATAGTCCGTTGGCATCCATTAATGGTCAACAAAAAAGGGGCGGGCGTTGCAGAATGATGTTTTTTCACAAATATAACGAGTTCCAGGCGAGTTCCACAAAGATTTAGCAAACGTTTGAACCCTGGAGATTGTGAATTTGCAGCCGCAAATTGGCTTGTATCTTTTGATTTGCTCTGAGGGAGGAAGGGCTGCGCCCTCCCAACCTCCAGCACCAGGAAATGTGCACTACTTTTCTTCCAAAACCATTATGCGTGCCACGAAAAACAACACAGAATATCTGAAGGTTTGCCCGCCACATACTACCCAGAAAAATATCGCGTGCCTGCCACAAACAAGTACCCTTCCAAGGTCAACCCACTGTATGCCCCCTGCAATACAAAACAGTATTTCCTTTTCAACACTGATTCTTGGTTGGCTTTGGCTTTCTGGTGTCTTTGCTTGCCTGGTCCTTTCGTCACCTCCTATCATGTTGTTTCTCTTGTTTGGGTCAGTGTCTTTCATGGCAGCACTCCGTGGAAGCACAATATGAGAGAGAACACATGAGCGCACGTACTTCGAAATATTAACTATATATGGCAGAAAATTGTCCATTTGATTTGCGACTCACAAAGTGCTGCGCCTGCTACAAAATCTGCACTTCGAGGTCCACCAAGTGCTGCGGCTGCTGCCACAAAATCTGCACACAAAGCTGCGCCTGCAAAAAAAGCGCACTGGAAGGTTCTTTTGGTACCCTGTAGGGAATAGTTTGTTGATGTATGTTGATGTCAATTTCCATCAATTTCCTTATATTATGTTTTGAACCCTCACCCTGGCAGTCTCGATGTTTTTCCCGCGTGACGAAACGGTGGCAGCTCCGAGGCGGCGCAAGATGTGGAGCGTCAGGTGTCCAGCCTGAGTGCAAGATGACGGATGATCATCAGGGCCCCGGGGCTGCGGGGTCTTTAACAGTACCGAAACGAGGAGGCCGAGGCCCTGGTCAAGGATCAAGACTGTTCTGGTGCATGTGCCAGACAGCCAGAAGGGGTGCCAAAGCGCTAAAACAGCGCATGTGAAGGCAAAGTCCTTCGGGCGTTAAATAACCCCAAATCTCTTTTCAAGGGTTTCGTTTGCGGTCGTCACTAGGTAGGAAGTTTACTCCTGCATGGCGATGTGTGCGCTGACCCGAAGCCTGCAAACAAGCCAAGTGACATGGACAATGGACATGGTGAAGCAAGCGATTGCCCGGATGACTTGGAATTCTTGGGCAGTGGATTCCGGATCTTTCTGTGATGTTATTTGAGGCAGGGCGAGCCAGATGGAGGAAAGGCGCGATGGTCACTCAGAGCACAACCCCCCCATTGTTCTATAGGCCAATCACAACCTCCGAAAAAGACTCCAACGCCATGATACCACCACTATAGAACGTATATAGTATAGTTAAGTTCTATAAGCATTTGTAAGCCACAATACAAAAGAACCTCCCACTCTTGTCATGGCTTTTGCGTCGACTTGGCCCAGAGGCACTCCCGTCCTCCGAAAACTTGCTGAAGGCGTCGAAGGCGTCGCCGGTTTCGAGACATTGCATCGACAGCGAGTCTTTAGGCCCGTGAGTTGGACTCGACGTTGATGTCGAGTCAAGAGATGTCAAGAGTTTGAGTACAGTGAAAGTCTTTCGCCCTGATTTTCTGGTCTTTCGCCCTGGTCTTGTTGAGTCATGGAAGACCCCTGGGCAGTCGTGGTCAGGCTGCGGCGGACCTGGCCGAGCGGTCACAGAAGGCCGAGCCCCGGGAGCTGGCGAGGCACAGCCGGCGCGGGCGCGGCTGTCGCTGACATGTCTCACGTCTCATGACGGAAGGACCGGACCGCTCGGCCAGGGCGTGTTGCGTGCGCCCCCGATAGGGCGAGGGGTTCACGTAAGCAACACGGGGTTCACATGGGTTCACAACATCCAAAACCATGACATGTTGAATGCTTTTATCCGCTAGATGTTTGGGTTCAGTCCATGCGAAAAGGAAGAAGACCATTTTTTTGGGGGGGTTGAACCAGCCCGGTGAGGCGAGATCCTTCACCTAGAAGATACCTGGAGGCGAGATCCTGGCCTCCCTATCGCATCTCAGTCCACAGCAGATTGGCTGCGCACCAGCAGTAGCTGGACCAGTAGCTGGACATAGCTGGAAATTGATGAGCATGTTCTTCCAGACATCTCAGTGCAAGGCATACGCCAGGAAGGCCACACCGCCGCTGGAAGATCCCGCTGTTCGACGCCCCATTAAGAGAGAGCGACATGAAGCGATGCCCTTTGTTCCTGGTAGCTTCTTGTTCCTAGTGGCGATGCCAGGAGCTACTAGTAGCGTCCTTGTCACTAGTTGCTTGAGCAGTCCCAGGTCATTTCGAGAATTGATGCACTGCAAGCGGAGGCACAAAGCTATATCAGCAGATTTTGAATGACTCGTGCTTTTAGCCACTGCTTCTACAAAATAAGCGCCCAAAAATGAAGCTTTGCAAGATCCTGAAAGACAACTTGCCCCATTATGATGGAACTAGATGGAACTAGAAGTGGGTCCATAGTAATAAGCTTTTGGGGTCATCTAGGTCATTTTGGATGGTCCCCGGTGTTCGAATCAGTCCGGAGCGTCCCATCGTGGCCTGGTTTTCGACTTCGACAGCCGTCGAAGGCGACCGTCTTGAGAGAGGAACTTCGTCAGGCCGACCTTCAAATTCAGGTGCGACGGCGGTGAGATGCCCTGAACTGCGGCGGTTGGGGGCATTGAATGCCCCCAGGCCTTGAACCACCTAATAGGCCTCCACCCTACTAACAATGGCCTCCACCCTACTAGCAATGGCCTCCACCCTACTAGCAATGGCCTACAGTATCTAATAGGTACATTGGGTATATACATCCATCCCGTCCATCCCTCCATTATTCCGTACAGGGCATCACCGGGTGGAACGACTCCCTCCATTGGACGTCTCCCACGTGGATCGCGTCGTTCCACGTGGATCGTCGGGAAAAAAAATGTGGTCGTCCTGCGTGGAACAAAACGACGAAGAAGCCATGTCGAATGCAGAAAGTGTTGTCGGCCAAAACAAAGAGGGCATATTATATATAAATATAATATCTAAACTGTAGAGGGTTCATTCTTTGACATTTGTCAACGAATTTGACATTCAATGTGACATGCAATGACATTCAAACTCAAAAATCTAAAATCTTCCGGAAAAGAGGGATCCAATGGGATGCAGATCATTGCAGATCCAAGACTCAAGATTCCAAGACAGTTGCAACATGTTCCAACTTGCCAAATTCAACTACATATTAGCTGACTCTGCCATATGACTCCATATGCCATATTAACTTTGAATCCAGATTCAGCTCGTTTCAAGGCATGTTTGTCACAGACCAAACGGCAGAATAATCCGTTCGCTGTTTTTCCGAACACCACCAGACGGCGGCTTCGGAGTCTGCTGCGGCGAATGCCGACCTCCGCGAGAGTCGCTTGAGGCGAGAGGTTTCTGAAACAATACAGAGAGTCTCAGACACTCCATGGACTGCCATATCTGCCGATCAGTTGGGGTGGTTTGAGGGGTCAATGTAGGCATATTATGACAGACATGGAGCGTCTGGGAAGAGTAGAAGAAGAGTCCCGCCTTCTTGAAAAGGGTCGGGATCCCAGTGCAGACGGTCCTAAAAGGTCTCCGGTCCTGAGCCGGGCCGGGCCGACGAGGCATCAACAGTGGCTTCGAAGTATGCAGGCGAAGCATGGGCGCAGCATGTGGTGATCGAAAGAGAACGAAAGTACAAAAACACCTCATTGTCTATTGTCATTTCATATGTCATCACGTTGTGTCAACAAAGACATACAAAGACTATTGAACATAATTAGAGTATAATACTGCGTGTGCCCAAAGATGTAGACCGCCCCCCACAACTGCAGCACCATGTGTGTGTGTGTGTTTCTTGAAACGACACCAACGAGGACGTTTCAGACCTCCGGACCAGGAGGAATCCGGGCGCTTGCGCCGGGAAAACAAGCGCTTGGACCAGCACTCAGATAGGGTACCTGCTGGCGACCGCTGAGCCGGTGACTGCTTGAGATCGTTTGCGGGATTCCGCACGGGTGCAGATTCTTTTTGCAAGTGAATGTAGTACGAGTCAAAAGAATGTGACTGTGTGACTTGCCATTTCTGTTCAAGCTCATAGCGAGGTTTGCAATAAGTCAATAAGTACTGTAATTAATTCCTTCATGAAATGAAGACTTCAAGAAGCCGAAGGCCATAAAGACTGTTCTTCGATGTTCTTTGCCTCCATGGTCGAAGACAGGTGACTTTGCCCGAAGATCTCGAAGTCAGCTAGCCCACAGGCCTACTTTTAGACACAAGAATGTGTTCAAGGACCAGATGGGTACTTTTAACAATACTTTCAATACTGTTCGATACACTACACTTTCAAGTTGCCGAAGAACCCTCCAAGAATTGTGTCAACTCGTCCGAAACCCTTCCACCGACATATATACCAGACCTATTGCAGCGCGTCGCGGCGCTGTTCCATCCGTCCAAACTTCTGACAGTAAGACATCGGACCCAGCCCAAAAGGCAAATCGTTCCGATTGAGCGATTGATTCCTCATCGTTCTTTGATTCATTTGATCCATGAGCAATCCAGGCCAGGCCTGGATCTGGTTTTCACACCAAGGGGAACATCCTTAAACTACCGGGGGGACCCAAAATAGAAAGGGTGGGCATTGCCCCACCAATTCGACGTTCCAGAGGTTTGATCGGTTTTTTTTTAGCCCGGCCGGGACATTTGTGACACATCTGGGGACGATCTCAACATCTAAGACCTTCATGAAGTGGTGGAGCTTGCTGCTCAGTCGCCCATGGATTGGACATTCTCGGCCCATTGATGAGGTCAGTACTTGGGTTCAGTATGGTGAAGCAGTGTGCTGGGTGGTGGCAGACTACGAGACCTGCTGCGCACCGGAGCATGGGCCTTTGGGCAATCCCAGCTGTTGGATCGCTCCACCCCTTTCATTCGAGACTTGCTGTTTGGAACGATGGCAAGTGTGTGATGTCGATCTGGTCAACCAGGGCGACCTGGGCGAGCTGGATGGATCCATTGATTGGGTTCTATTTTACCAAGCATGTGCTGTGGTACAAGAGGTCTTAAACTCGTTGCACAAGTTCTGGATTGGGACCGCCCTCCGAGCGCAGCTGTGCAACGTTGACGTCCAAGCTTGCCATCAACAGAGTGAGGTCGTTGAAGCTGACTGGCGTGTCTTTGAAACACAAAGGACCAGCTTGTCCAATCGAGCTCGATGGCTTGAAATCATTGACACTTCCCACACCTCCCACCTTTCAGGGTCTCAAAAAGATCCTTCCGCCGCGGATCCTTTGGTATCACCAGACCTTTGCGCCTCTTTGGACCAATGGCCACCCGAGGTCTTTGTGACCTTGCTGGACTTCGTCCATGTGTCGACGTCGGAAAGCGGCGCGCTGCAGGCGCTGGAGCAGCTGCACCGGGACCTGGAAGGTTTCCGTGATGCGATGCTGGACGCCCTCTACTCGAAGCAAATCAGCCAGTTGGACCAGGAGCGGCGAAAGGAGGAGTCTTTGGGCAGTGGTAACAGCAGCGGTTCAAAGTCAGCTGAGGATGGCTTGCCCTTGAGGAAGGAGGTGAACTGCCATGAACTGCTGCACCCTGGCTGGTGGGAGAGTTCGGCATTCAAGTGGGGCGTGAGTCCCGAGACGCGCACTTTGGTGCCACCACCAAGCATTCCTCCAGGTATGAGAGACCAGTTCACCATGCAAGGGAGGATTCCGGTGATTTCCCATTCCGCGACGAGGCGTGCCTTGGGCTTTGTGGGCGGGAAAGCTCCCAAGGAAGAGGTTGAGTCTGAATGGGCCTGGAGCTGGCAGGCCATTGAAGATCTGATTCGCCGTGCATACAACTACCAGCTGGCCCCGGGCCCCACTTCCTTCCCGCGAGTCAAGGGCTTGACCGAAGTGCTGGCTGATTTACCAAGCTTGCTGCAAGAGCAACACTGGGTTGTTTGGGGCGATAACAAGCATTTTGAATGGTGGAAACCTTGGATGGAAGCATTGCTCTTATCCTTTGGCGCCAGAAGTGTCACCTCCATCGTTCCGAAGCCGGAACGCTACAACAACTCGCTACATCCACAGTTGACACCTTTGACCCTAGAGCAGGCCATTCTAGAAGCTCCATTCCATGGACTTGTGCTCATGGGCTCAAGTACTGCAGGCCTGGGACGACACGGAGATATGTTGCATCCCAATGCCGATCTCCAACAAGCGCAAGTCGCCTGGTGTTTGCTTCGCAGTCGTGGGATTCTCATCGCACCAGCCATGCAATCAGCTGACATGCTTCGTTGGCCCTTGGGCAGGGTCTATGGACCTGTGCGCTGGCCTCACTTAGTGGCGAACTTCCAGCTGCTAAGAGTCTATGAACATGCAGCGGTCTTGCAAAAGCCATGAGAAGACGAACCATCGATCGTTGGATGGACATCGCGGTTCCCCCGGGCCCCGTATACATGAACCATGTACGTGCACGTTGGCGCACCTGGAACATGGTTCAGCAAGGAAGGCATTGCAATGTGTCTGCATGCATTGTTTTTTCCCGGTTTTGCGAAGCATCCTTCGACCTGTCATAACCGGTACGTTCAGCGTTCTCGTACCGGTACGAGCTAGCGGCTGTTGATCTCCGTCCCACGGGGACGGTGGTACGGTGGTGCGGTCGAGCGAGCTCATCCTAGGAAGCATCCGGAATTCGTCAGAGAGAGTTGAGTGGAACATCAGTTGGCCTCTTTGAGGTGTTGCTTGGCCTCTTTGAGTTGCCTTTTTTCTTCCACTGACGCGAACGTCATGGCAAGCGACCTAAGACCCGAGCTATTTGTCAAGCGGAGAAATGATCGTACTCGCTGACGAGCATGTTTGAACATTGATCCGGACATCTCTTGAGACTCAGCTACGGCTATCTTAAAGATTCATATTGCATGTGCCATATTGTGCCCATGCATGCAAAGGAACGAAGCTATCATCAAGCTGGTTTGGAGGAGCATTGACGATGCTTTCGAATCATGTGGCACTGATGTTGCTCTGCACAACTGAAGCTTCTGCTTATCATGCCTGTGACCGATTTTCCTGATATCTTTCACATGTGTCGTTTTCGGATGTTTTCGGTTCAAGACCTCGGCTGAGAAGGATAGGTCTAGCCGGGGGGGGGGTCACGCCTCCGGGCGGGAAGGGGCTGTTGTTTGCAGCTCCGGATCTTGTGCACGAAGCCGTGCACGAGCCCTTCAACTGCACGGCATTAGTCGATGCTTCGGCCGTCGCCAAAAGCGGTGGACAAAAGGACTAGTCTGAGGACTCGTTGACCAGGAACCTGGATTTTTGTTGAGGTACAGCTCAGCTGAAAGGTCTGAAGGCACTCGTGTTTCAGGGTGCTACTTCTACTGCCCCACGTGTGGTACCACTAACTATATACCACTGTCCATCGGACGTCTCCGTCGGCCTGCCTTGCCTGCCTTTGCCCCGCAGCCACCACGCGACCCAAGGAGCTGATGTATGCGCTGGTTCGTTCGAGATTGACGGATGATGGCCTCCTAGTGTCTGACGTCGAGGACGCAGCAGAGCATGTCCGGCTCGGCGCCGGAAAGCCAGTGTTTGGTGTAGGGGTCAAAATGGTTCTGGCATGTTCATGACAAGCCATGACAAACCTGCATCCAAAGATTGTGGCAGTGTAGGGAGGGGATTGTGGCGATCTGTAGAAAGGGCTCCCTTTTCCTCCGTTGGAGTTTCTGGTTTTGTAAGACAAACAAGGGTGTTTGCTAGGAGCGCACGGCCTTTCTTGGCATGGGCGCTGGCATTGGTGCAGCAGCAGGCGGCATGGGAGCCTTCATGCTTTGCGCGTGCCAGCCTCAGTTCGTTTTGATACTAGTAGAAGCACAATTGCAAAGGTCCTGCGCATTTGAGTCGCTGTCAACATGTACTTTATACACAGGCGTTTTATCCAAGACTTTGATTTTGGGTTTTCCTTGGACATGATACGGGGCATCCAACAAAAAATGCTTCACACTGTAGAAGGCCTGACAGAAGTTCTGCGCCTTGTAGCATCAACTACAGTTTCAATCTTGCAGTGAGTAGTTCAGAAGACCCTTTGAATACTTCAAGACTTCAGAACTGAGGACACGCGTGTTTTCGCACACCCAACCACCCGGAACCCGTAAATCATGTTGGGCTTGTCTTTTCGTTCCAAAGATGCCCAAATGGGCCACACATGTCCCGCGACGACTGGGATTTGGAGCCAAACCCACTTCTTCGCACCTGGAGCCCGGAGCCCCGTGCTGCTCCCAGGGCCAAATGCCCCGGCGGGATAGGCGCGGGCCGGGATCACACTGTTTGGGATTGTCCCATCTCCAAACATGGTGTTAGAGCCATGCTGCATGAATGTGGTGCCCCCCCAAAACGGCACGTTCTGTTTGCTGCTGCCTGTGCAATGCGGAAGAGCACACCCACACACGCACACACACATGCAATCACATGCACACACACACAGACACAGACACACACACACACACACACGTGGCATGTGCAGCAGACAGAGCAGACACGGGGCATCAGTCGCATTCTCTTCCTGGCAGGAGGATCGCTTGGAGGCATGTTGGGCTCGATGAACCCCATGAATTTGATGCCCTTTGGCTCTGACAAAGAAGAGAAAGACGCCGACGACGCCAAGGACCGAGACAGAGAGAAGGTCAACGGGCGGTTTTTCCACGGTTGGGCGATGGAGAGAGAGATGGCGTGAATGGAGGATCATGGTAAAGTGTTTGGTGTAAGCTGTTTGGGTTGGAGTTCTTAGATGTTCTTAGGACATTTCGTTTGGCCTGTCGTCTTCTTTTCTTTCAAGTGAAATGACCAACTGCTCGCTGTTTTTGGCGGGATTGATAGCGCAGGATCCTGAAGAAAAGATGCAGAAGCAACTGAATTACATTGAGAAGGCCTTGACCGTGCCGTGTGCGCTCCTGGGCGCCCCTGTGCGCCACGAGGGCCCAGAGCGGTGAGTCGAGATGTTCAGTAGATTCAGTATAGAAGATAAATGCAAATGGAGAAAACAACAGAAAGATTGAACCCGAGGCTCCTTCCTCCACTTTCCATCTAATCAGTGCACCTCCCGCGAATAGTGTTTATGTATGTTTTTTTAGTTAGCTTTTTTTTTGCGTGTCTCTCTCTCCCTCTCTCTTTGTTGCATAAAGGGGGGATCGGAACAAGAACAATCGAACAATCAGTAGATCCTGGAATGTTGTCAAGTACAGTTTCAGGCTGAAATTCGCCATGTTTTGTTCCTGACTGGGACAAAAACATACTATAGAAGGGAATTATATACTGGAAGTCAAACTGCTCCCCCCTCGTCCGCCCAATTCGGTCCATTCCTGCTGACCAGGTCCATTCCTGAGCTCCTCCACATGTCAATGTGAAACCTATCTCTTCAGGCATCTTTCTCCTCCCATTTCAACGGCCCAGATGCGACGTTTGGGTTCCTCCGTGAAGTCTGGCACCCCGGAGAGCGCCGAATCCCCGAATCCTCCTGTTCGGGGGACCCGGGGACCAAAGAAACAATCCCTAGAGGCCCAGTTTCGAGGGACCAGGTGGCCTGTCGGTTGGTCGGTGGGTTCGCCGGTGGCAGGAGATTTGCAACATGAACTGCAAGATGGCAGGGCTCATGGGTGCGGCGGCCGGTGGGGCTGCCGGACATGTGGCGCAAAAGAAGATGCAAGAAAAGTCTGAGGAGCTGCCTGGGTGTGAGAGAGAGAGAGAGCGTGTGTGTTTTTTTTTCCAAGATAAGAACAAGAGAGGTGGCTGTGAGAGGATCTTGGGATGTGATGGAAGCAAATCTGAGCTGAGAACAGAGTGGCTGACTTTTTGACTGCAATTGCCACCCCACCCTGGCTGTCCTAATTTGGACAAGGCTATTGTAGCTTTAGGCTTTAGCATTTGGACAAGGCTATTGCAGCTTTAGGCTTTAGCTACTTGTATCCTTTTGCTGCATATTAAATATATGTTGTTTTCTTGTTTTGGCCATGCTGTTCCCTTTTGTTGGACGCACCCAGCACCCTAGGAGGAAGCGGCAGCTGCTCAAGCTCCGCCTCCCCAACCTGCACCAGCATATGGCAGTGGTCTTGGATTGTTGTCTTGGATCTCATGGATCTATACACTCCAGATGTGTTTTTTTGAGGTAAAGGCTATGGCCATGGCAAAGGATATGGCAAAGGATACTACGGCCACCACCTCAATCAGCTGCTCTTGCCTTGCACAACCTTTTTTTTTTGCGATGAGCCTGAAACAAACAAAAACACCGAAAAGAACATCGAGTGTTGGATCATGATGGGTGTGGCTTGAAGAAAGCCCCGTACCGTACTGTTCTGGCATCCATCGAGGTCCTCCACCTCCTCCAGGCCGGCATGACCTTCATGGATTCATCGATTGAGCAGCCTGACCCTGCGCCGAGTCATGTCGAGGCTACCGACCTGCACCGCCTCAGAGGTCACGCACCATGGGCCCCAATTACTATTCCAGCATGGAGCTCAGGTTACGCTCCCTGAAGCAATCATGGCAGTGGAGTGAGTGAAATCCACCTGTTTGCTGGATGTCATCCTCTGAAATCGGGGCCATGTTCTACTTCCAAGCACAGGGAGTGTTTATTCTTCCACTGTCCAACGGTTTCCATGAGATTCTTCCAGCAAAAAAGTTCTTGTTCCCAGCACAGCCGGCGTTTGATGTCTTTTATTGTTTATTTTGATAGGTCGAGGAGTCGGTTGATCAACCAGTGCGATGGACCCATCCGGACCCTTCAGAAACCTCGAAACAGAGGCCTAGACAGCCAAGGCACCAATGAACTGGAAGACGAGCAATTCAGTTTCTGCATGTTTCTTTTAAGCCGGCTTCTACAAAGCCGGTGATTTGCTGTGATTTTGCTTTGAGGTCAGCAACGGGGAAGTTCCTACATCTCTGGCGACTCATTCATTTGAGGCACATGTCAACATTCTTCTCAGCATATGTCGATGCTTCATGATGCTTCCATAGTGGAAATCCATCCACACCGGAGCCACCCTAAGGATTCAATATGTGATGGCGGCAAAACGTGTTGTGAAAAGCAGCGCGTGAAGCTAGCGAAGCAGATTCCAATAGATGCCAACTGGGCATTGTGTTCAAAACAGTCTGGAGAGTTATGCAATGTGCATCAATGTGCTATGCAAATGCATGTGAGAAGAAAAAGAGAGAGCTGTGCTGCGTTGGAGTCTTGACTCAGACCGGACAACTGCTGGTCCAGTCTACTCTTCCAGCAGTAGACCCACCTTGCCAGGAGCGGCGCGTCGAGCGGAGCTTAGCGAACGGGGAGCCTTGACAGTAGGTTTTTTCTCCAAAGTCAGTGACCTGGCAACACTGGCCCTACATACAAGTCACCTCGTTTTGCTGGAGTTATATAGTCATACCGCATACCAGTAGTCATACCAAAAACACCCGAAAAAATGAGGTAAAAGACAAAGCTTTTACAAGGTCTTGACTGGACTTGTAGGGTACCGGTAGGGGTTCTTACAGAAAAGAGCCGGTTTCTGGGCGGGAACCTTGAGACCCCAAAAGGCGGTTTTCCATCCGGAAGGCCAATGGCTCGCCAGTGGGGATGGCTTGGTTTCTCACTTCACAGATGAGCCATGCCAGCGGTGAAGCCAAATAAGGGCCCATCCTGGATGGGCCCAGGGTTTCTTTGGCAAGGTATGGATTGCTGAGTGAGTTTGGGAGTTGCGACAGCACAGTTTCTCGCTCGCCTGCTGGTCCTGTGTAATTCTGAGGCAGATCTCGCTCGTTCTCAGCCAGTAGGGCCCTTGAGCCTCGCGTGCACGGAGCGTGAATCCGCGTGAAGGTCAATTTGGATTCGTCGACCCGTTACAAAGAGTAAGATCAGGGAGAAAAGAAAAAGCACTCAGAGAGGTGGCAGTCTCGAATCAAAGTATTGAGTCAGTGAGTCAATCTGGGTTCAGCATTGCAGTTCAACTCGATATTCACTGGTCAGTCACACAGACAGAGTCATCTCTTTTCCCTGAAACGGGGGAAGCCTGAGGGCACCTCCGAGCAGAAGCTCGCGTCGCTCAAGGCGGGCGAGAGGGAGAGCAGAATGAGGCCAAAGGGAGGAAGAGAAAGGAGACTGATATTACAATTTCGGTGGTTACGCTTTTGGATTCTTTCTGAGTCTCAGGAGCTGCATATTTCTGTGGCCAAACTTTTCTCTGAACATAGCGCTGGCTTCGGCTATAGTGACATGGTTCTTGTATGTTCTTGTTCAAAACCTTGTGGCTCTCACGTAGGGTCTATTGTGTTATGGGATTCCGCTGCCTGCGGATAGGGTGAGCGGTCTCAAAGCTCATATAAACCGACTTACCACAGAAAAGCACGACAGGCACCTATCATCCAGAAACCATGAAAGCACGGCGAGCTTCGCCGCGCCACGCGAAGCAGAAAAGCAATGCGGGTTCCTGCGAACTACTAAGACATGTGCATGACACATGACTGATTGTGACCGACATGTCCTGGCATGGCTGTTCTTTTTTAATATCAACCGATATTAAACGTGATTTGTGTTCATGCTAGCCATATTGTCCAAATATTCTGCGATTGACGGAAAAGTCCAACTGAGCATGTGTGTTGAAATTGATGCATTAATTACCGTTAATTACGATAATTCAGGAACCGGGCCCGCAATCAATGTTAGATTTGTGTTTAATTGTTTACAGTCAGACATTCTTATGGATTTCGGATCATTGAGCTGGATCTGATGCGGGGGCCTTTTTGCTGATTTTTCATGGAGATGCTGGAAGGCGGCATGTGAGAGGCTGGAGCTGGAGAATGAACGTTTGAAGCAGGATTTGGAAGCAGGAGCTTGGTATTCGCTGGTCATCGCATGGTGGGTTTCACGGTTTTTCTTGGCTTCTTTTTTTGATGGCTTTGGTGTGGGCCAGGACAAGCAGATCTCAGCAGTGTGCGAGATGCATTGGACTTAGACCCTTCGGTGTCTCCCCGGTGTCGACACCGACGTCGGAACGGCGGACGTCTGCGGCGGACGGGGCTCCACTGTGGCACAGGTTCCGCTTCGTCACCGTCAACGCGATGGAAAGCATTGGTTCAACAAATGATCCCTGACCATCGGACTGGCAGATCGACCCAGAAGCTGAGGTTTTAGGATGTTTTAGGATGTTTGATTGATAGATGTACATATTCAATCCATGGAGTGCCATGGAGTGTTTGGGGATGCTTTATCTCAAACCTCCCCAATAATTAATCAGCATCCTTACTAGTGCGTAGCTTCAATTGTTACTAGTAGTGTCTAGTAGTATTGGCAGGAGCTACTAGTAGTTTCTTGCTACAAATAACTAATAGCAATGGCCTCCACCCTAGTAGCTTCTTGTTCCTAGAAGCAATGCCAGGAGCTACTAGTAGCTTCTTGCTCGTAGTAGCGATGCCCTTTGCTACTAGTAGCTTCTTGCTACTGCCTCCATTCAACGAAAATAACTACATCATAAAACCGCATGTGAAGCCTTCGCATGCGAAGCTGCTCAGCACTGAGGTTGTTGCTCACGCAGCACCCAGTCGTCACCAAAGGCTGAAATACACCAAACTGGTCTCCGTGTGTGCATTTGTGCATTCGGTGTATGTGCATTCCGGCAGAAACCCGGTGCTAGTGTCCTCTCAAGCGCAGCTGCAAAGCAGCTTTGCGCCAGTTCCAAGTGCCAAAGACTGCACTGTCAAAGTGGGTAGTTCTTTGATTAATTCTTAGGATTTCTTAAGTTGTAATTTTAGGCACCGTTTTGATCTGTCAAGAAGTCTATGCCATATGTAATCTTAGTCAGTCACTTTGACCCTGACCGCATCCATACATACTTTTGCGCGACAGCACATTTCGCACACGCCGGTCTTTTGCTGTAGCTGCCGTGCTTGGCTGCTCTTGCCATGGCGACCACCAGTGCAAGTGCAGTCGCCAATGCAGATGACTCAGATCAGTACAAGTTAGGCTTTGTTCGTGCGCTGTTATAATCTAACTAAACATGAGGTAGCCCGCCAACCAATCAGTCCCAGTGCTTGAAAGCTGCGGTTCATTTATCTTAATATAGAAGTCGATCAAAATGGATCAGTGGATCTCTCCCGGATGGTCTCAGGGCAGGCCCATGACAGCAGATGCGACTGAGCCGCCCAGGCTGGACAAGGAACCGATCAGAGTAACAACATGTCTCCATGTTTGTCTTGTCAAGATCAACGCAGACTACTTGGATCTTGAAGCGATTGGTCTTGGTTTATACCACAGACTACTTTGATCAACGCAGACTTCTTTGTAATAGTATACTATTTTGGTTTTGGTGTATGTTTTGCATAAAGCCGGAAGTGATTGAGGGTCGATTCACCTCGTCGACGCGACCAAAAAGGTGGTCTGTCCCGAGCACATGTTCCAAAGGACTGACTCAAAGCGGTCTGTCAGGGGGAAACCTTTCAGGGTCGGTGAACAAGGAAACCACTAGTTTTTCACATGTCGGCCTGCAACTGAACCTTCACTGAAACATGGTATATCCCAATATACACATCATTTAACCAGAATGATGACGAAATGATAGGGACCTTTGAGCTTTCAGACCTGGCCCGTGAAGGAAAGGGCACAAGTCATGTCGATATATCACGCCAGTGTAGGAGAAACGACAATCGTCCCATGAAACCCACTGAGAAACAAGAACATAGTGTAACTCCTCAAGAGGTATTGAAATCTCACACGTGTTGTGATCCATAGCAATGTTCTTTGGAACAAGATAGAGGCCTCTCTATTCAGGCAGAAGATACCTCATTTTTTTCAAAACGTCGAGAATCCACTGTCCAGATCCCCCTGTCGAAGGTTTGGCAGAATCTTTGAGTGAGTCAGAGACAAGGTTTGATAGCATACCCAGACGATCCGTGTAAGCAAAGGCAAAGGGAGGCTACATTAGTTTCTTTGTGGGGAATGTAGGTTATTTTGCTGCGTCACCATGGAGCGTTTGAGATACATGAGTTGCCTAAGTGAATAGCAAAGTCCAGTACTCGTTTCCAGGGAGCTGTCACTGTACCAAAGAGCGGCGATATCCCCGGTGTCCTCCGATACTCTATCCGCATAAAGCTGTAGAAAACGCCTAGCTCTTCCATTTGTTGGGAATTACTATCAGGATTAGTGTGCTTGCAACCTATAGATCCAGTAGCCTTGGCTGCTTGCTCAGACTTTGTGAAGTGGAGTGAGGCCCGCTTTCATTCTTGGTAACTTAGCCCGCCTGTTGCATGTCGCGTTTTTTCCCCGAATGTTTGTGTTGCCAGTGTTGCCAGGCGGAAGCATGGTGAAATCAGGCTGGGGGAGTTTGATGGAGCACTCTCCTGATACAGCTTCAAGAGTATCCAAAAGAAAGAGTCTTTCACTAAGACTACCAGTCAGCATAGGTGACTTGTGGAAAGAAAAAGCACACTGCCAAAACGAAGTCGTTCGTGGTAGACTCGAGGGGTCACTGCAGCCCACCGGTGCTGGCAAGACGAAGACCACCCGAGCGGTCACAGGAGTCCGATCTCCCCGGAAAGGAGAAGGAAACCACGGGAAGGAAGCTGTCCAAACACGAGCAAGACCGATTCCAATCCGTGAGGTCGACAGGTGAAAGCAAGAGATGGTTGTATGACATTCGCATGAGACATGTCAACAGATCGAACAAAGTACTGTGACACTGAAGAATGCGCTTGAAGCCAAGGAGGCGGACTCCCTACAGATAGTATATTTCTTTTATGTTTGATTCATCAAACCCCACCGGACATGGATTGTAGAGGGAGGTTTATTCATCAAGATTCTACACTATAAAACATTTATATAGAACACATATAGTATATAGTATATAGATAAAATTTTATTTGTGCCACATGTATAATGTATTACAAGAATGCATTTTGACGGAACGCGCCAAAAAACCGCTCCTCTCATGTCTCGGTGAAGTCGTTGAACGTGTTGTTTGCACAGCACAGCTTCAGCCGCTTTGGACCGGTTTTTCCAATCGAAGTCCGCGTGCCAGTTTGCCGGTGCCGAAAGGTAGGTGTACGCAGTTGTGTGTGTTTGCAGTTGTTTTGGTTTCTTCGTTTTGGGTGTTTCTCTTCGGTGTAGGCTCCCGATGAACGCCATCAAGACGCGGGCACGTCCCCCGCCGGAAGCCTCGCGCAAGCGGAAGATGGAAATGGATCAAGGCTTCGTTGAGGCACCGAGAGGGAACATGGGACGGCTATGCAGAAAGCGAACATCGCTGTGACGGTTGAGGGGGAGACACCATGCAGAAAAGATGTGGATGTGGCCGCGCTTTTTTTTTGGGCTCGGCTTCAAAGGTCAAAGGATGATAAAGGATGAAGATGAAGACATGCAGTTGTGTTCGCGAGTCAACATGACTGCTTCATGTTGACCCTGGAACGTGTTGTTGCGGTTCTTCTCAAATTCATCACAGGCGCACAACACAGCATTCATCACTCTCTCCCCAATGAAGATGTCAGAGTTTCCTTTGAGTTTTTGGGAGAGAACTTCTCAAAAGCATGTTCCACTCCAATATGCATGGTGTGTATTCAGAATCTGGAGACCCCCAAGACTTCTTGGAACACGGAAAAAACCAAGGCCCGATGGTTGGACATTGCCCTATTTAAATCCGCACTTACTGTATATGGGAGCCGATCGTAAATGCACATCTAAGAACTATGAAAGGGCATGTGTATCTCAGCATCTGCGATTGTAAAACCCTGCATCGCGGTTGATCGGCGATTGGTTCGCGATTGAGACAAACATTTGTATCAGATTCGACCATTGTAAGAGGAGAAATCAATATTATATGGCATGATAATCATGTTGCAGTTCAGCCTTACACTGTAGTATTCGGGTCTGCCTAGACACTGTGTTCAATAGTGATAGCCAATAGCAAAGAAGAATCAGAACAACAAAGTTTAAAGTCTACCAGCCCAGATCAATTCAATTCTCAAAAAAAGGTCGACGAAATCCGCGATTGGTTCGCGATTGTGCCGCGATTGTTAAACCCGCCTGAGTAGGCCCTGGCTCACGCCATGTCTCTAAATATTGTGATATGTAGCAAATGTTTCGATGATTCTTTGCGCAAAATAATAGTGTTGCATACGAGAGCACTCTCCCGCGATTGACACCGTTGGGTTCGCGATTGATTCGCGGTTGATCGGCGATTGTAGCTGCCTCAGATACCTTTATTTTGATCAACACCCATATGTTTATTTTGGGGTTTGTCCCAGGAAACCTGCAACGGTCGGCAAACAATCATCACTCTTTTTGAGAAAGGCCTTTACTAACCGTCATCATCCACTGTTACTGGTACTGGGATCTACCCAACGTGTTTATTGAATATTGTAAGTTTGTAAGTGTTTTATTGTGAAAGCTCCCAACCTGCAGGCGGACTTCAGGGAAGGCGAGCACCCATTGGGTTTGGTCGTCTGGACCCTGGGGGTCTTCTTGGAGGGCCATGTGAGGGTGATCGATTCTGAGATGTTCGGATGATGTGTCTGGAACTACCTGTAGTATATATTATGGAGATGGCTTAAACTCGGATGCCCACACAGATGTCAGAGGCTCTGTCAGAGGTGTTTTCGTTCTTGTTCCTTTGTGATGTTGATAGATTTGATAGACCCCAATCTGCGCATTTTACACCAAGAGTCTCTCTCCCTCTCTCTCTTTTCTGTGTCTTTTGAGGTCGATTGGTCCATGGCATTGCCCGTGCTTTCTGGGGTGCTACCAGGCCTGGTAGGACCTTGTGGACCACATAGCTGAGCCTCAGAGATCAAAACCAGCTACATCGGGGAAGGACCTCAAGCGACAAATCAAGCACCAATTTCCGCAATGTCTCGTAGTCTGTGAGACTGTATGTGAGGTACTCATGGTGCTGTCTTTGAGGATCTCAGACCTGGGCTTGTGCTACTGGCCATCAACGAGGTTCCTTTGGTTTTAGGCTGGGCTTGAAGGAACTGATCATCCGCAGAGATCCATCGTCAGAAAGGGGTAATTATAGGCTATGGTATTTTATGTGTAGAGCGTCCGACAAACCTTCCGTACAAAGTACTTTAGTAACAAGCTGCCTTAAGTGTGTTTGATAGAAAACCTTGCAAAAGAGATGGGATAGGGGCCAACCCTATACCCTTCCTTGATTGAAAGCATAGTATACTTGTAGCTCATTGCCTGCATTCCAAAGCACTGAAACCGATAGGAGCCAACCCAAGATACTTTTGGCGTTGGGGACACAAAGAAGAATTGTCAGAAGTTTTGTCCGCCACTCACATGGAATTCTCACTTGCAAAAAGTTGCCATAGTTCACGGATCGACGGCAAAGATGAAAGATTCACGGTACATAGATCGACGGGAGACGACAACTCCCAGACCATTTTTGTTTCCGGCATTGTGGAAACTTGCAATGTCTTGCAATAAATTGAAGTTTCCACAATAAATTATTGATCACTAATCAGTGTTTTCAATTCATATCTTGCAATAAATTAATATCAATTGAAGTTTTGTTCACTGCTCAGACTCGGGAAGAACCTTACACACCAGGATGTCGGATCAA